CGTCACGTTGTGACCATCTTATATATACCAGACTAACCCCAATCTAGTAATCTCCCGAAGGTTCGAGAAAGAAGTGGCGTGATACTAGTCACGTGACCTCGCTGACGCAACACTATATAAGATTTAGGACACTCAATTTTATGTGTGTGGAAATATTTCGTAATCTAAGTTTGATAATTTGGTAAAAAAAATTCTGAGGCCACGTTATTATAAGTAATTGTAATTTTATTTTATAATCTACAGCCGTTCTAGAAAGAAGAAATGGTAATTTGGATTTAATTCATATTTTTTTATGGTGGTTACAAGGTCGGTGAAAATGACTAAGCCTATATAGAGAGCGTTAATAAAACACACATAAAATATTTTTTCTTTAATATAATTTTACCAAAAGTATTGAAACAAAATGAGTTTAAAAATGTTTGACTCAATTGTTCGTATTAAGAACACCCTCTCAGACCAAAATTCAAACTAAAATGATGCAGAACATGGGGTATCATTGAATGTGATATTTTGTGAAATGATATATACATCTAGTATTTAAAAAAATATGGTATTTCTATGCAAACTATTTTCATTCAAAGATATGCATTTCCTAAAGTTTTTGTGTGCACTCGTGTGTATATGTAATTTGTATATGATAAATATCAAAATATCAATGAACATCATTACAAAATTATCCTCATGCACACATCAAATTGCTTTAATACCACGAAGATTTATCAGCATCTTATATCTAAGATCACCAAGCATAACCCTAGAAAAATGAAAGCGTTCAGTAGGATAATAAGTGTAAGTTTAAAACAAATATATTGTTAAGTCTCTGTTCGTTCGTTTGTTAATTTTCCGTAGAAATTCTTTCCGAAAAACTTCAGCAATACAAGTCCTTCCTTAAATAAAACTAGTTTATTCTTTCTCAATACCATATTGCAATACACTTAATTCCCACAGAAAAGTAATAATTCGTACGGCAGAGAGTTTAAAAAGTTATAAATCAAAAACTTAGCCCCCAGTCAGTGCAAAGTAACATAGTTACTCATAAAAGTCAAAGCTACGGTTACAAAGGAGAAATTTCTGACTCAAAAAGCCATTCTCATAAGATTGGAAATATCTTCTAATGTTCTTAACAAAATAATAAATAAAAATTTGAAGCTGACAAACTCTTAAACTTTCAGTTTCACTTCGAAATCCATTATTGTGTCCTTGAGAAAGGTGTTATCACACCTATCCTATTTGACCACACGTGTTGTGAAAATGGCGAAGAACGGGGAAACCTGGAGAGTTATAACGGTTGAAACAACGATTGGAACGATCATGAACCTGACTCCACTTGACTTGAAAGAGAATCTTTCTAGTTTTTATCAATGGAATCTAACTTAAGCATCTTAACATTTCAGTATGTTCGAGCCAAATACAAAATCAGAACAAAGGTTTAAATGCAAAAGATAAAAAAAAAAAATGAAAAAAGCCAATCTAACTATGGTAAGGTCGATAGGTTGGATAAATTATATCAAAATGTTCCCAACAGAAGTACTTCTTCACCTTGAACTCAATGTAGGATTATCTGTGCCCCAAAATAATAAACCACAACAGATCCAACTGTCACACTTCAACATGCAATAAAACCGGAACGTACCACAATCAAATCATGTGTCAATTTAATATATGTTTTGAAAATTACTAAGTCTTGGTAGTCACAACAAATACATCTCTACCATTCTGGTTAGTGGTCTTCTTGGCGCAGCGACCGTACATCAAACCTAATTGTTATTGTGATTAGACGAGTGCACTTATCACTTAGTCTACTGACTCAGTATATCAAACAGTTTAATTACAATAAACAAATGGAAAATCCACAAACAATAACGTTTTTACTTAAACATATTGCTTGCCTATCTTTAAAGTACCTAAAACTAATGAATAAGTTGCAACTTTCACCAAACCAAGAAATAAAACTACCACTTTTATTAATTTTTACATACTCGTAGATTACCTTTTATTCTCCTCAGTTTAGTGTTACCTAATCACTTAAATCTGCCAGGTTACCCTACAGAATAATACTCTACAATCATTAAGTTGGATTTATTTTCAATAATAATATTACAAAATTTATCTCTTAGTAAGGTTCAAATGTGGCCCAATGGTAAATACTGTGGATCTAAATATCAAGGTTTAGTTCTATGATATGCTATTAAACATACTCTGCACTTTCAGTCAAACTGTTTGTTCGGTTAAGAGCAGCGGTGTAGGCAACGGATATTGCTGACTGATTGCTATCACTCTGGTCAGTAGTTCTAAATTACGAATGACTATGCCCGAGTTTTTGGGTCTCTTTGTTTGTTTGAAGTTAAGCACAAAGCTACACAATGGGCTATCTGTGTTCTGCCCACCACTGGTATCGAAACCCGGATTCTAGCGTTGTAAGTCCACAAGCATACCGCTGTGCCACTTGGGGGGCTTTAAGGACTCTAACCTGGTCATTTAGTCCAGGTGTCGCAAATGGCACTGTTCAGATTGAAAATTATCAAATACCAAAATTTCTTGATAAACTCCAAGTTCCAAAGCACAATTAATTCACAACTATTTGTAACGAAGACTATAAATCAGTTTTAATTGTCATATCTTGACATGACAATTTAACAATTCCCATTCAACTAGAACACAGATTTCTAACTGTTAGATGGTGACTAGGCATAAAACAAACAAAGAAAAAGAACGATGTGTGTCATTCAAAGATATCACACGTTTTTATAG